TTAGTGTTTTTTCTTAATTTGAAAATTAACTTTAGATGCCATTAGTTTAAATCAGTGTTTAGCCTTAGAAATCAAACCTCATACKTAAAAGATTTGCTACAAAACTTTGGTTTTAGATCTACATAACTACTATAAAAATGTAATTTGCAGTAAAAAAAAAAATGTAAATAGTAGTAAATGGAATCCTTTAAGGATGCCATAGAATTTTGCTTTGTAAGCTCCATACGCTCTGCAGGCTCCCATCCAAATACATGGATAGATCACTACAATACAAATTTAATGCACTGAGCTAAGCAAGTCAGCTTGAAAAGTAACTTACTGTCATCATGGGCTCTCCCATTTTATTGTTTTTCCTTATCATTAGCTGCATTTTACATGCAACATGTTAAAGGTAAGTACTACTTTGCATGTCAGTTAGAGAAGAGTAGGAAATAATATTTCCTCTTCTTCTTCCTTTCTCAGATCAGCATAAGGGCCTCACTGTTAAGTTCATTTGACAGAATCACAGAATCAGAGGATGGATTYGGTTGGAAGAGACCTCTAGAGAACATCTAATCCAATCCTCCAGCCCCCTTGCTCAAGTAGGGACACCTAGAGCACGTGGCACAGGGTTACAACCAGGCAGATTTTGAAGACCTCCAAAGAAGGAAACTCCACAGTCTCTCTTGACTGCCTGTTCCAGTGCTCTGAACAGTAAATTCCTCCTCATGTGGAGATGAAACTTCCTGTGTTTTCACTTAGGTTTATGCCTCCATCATAGAGTCCTTATTGTCAAGAGAAAGGCATCTCCATAATAAAATTTATCTGACATACTGTTTGTGCTAAACTGAAGATGAGATCTGTCTTAGTTATTTTAGAAGGAGATTATTCCACCTCTGGAGGTGCTAGGCTAGGTTTGGACCATCTGGTGCCTAGAGCAAGGGAGGTGTATCTCACCACAGTGGGCTAGCTCAGGACAAAGAAAGGAGAAACATTTCCCCTCCTGATCAAGTTAAACTGAAGTTATTACAATACGAATACTGAATGAATCTGAGCTACGGGTACAAATCCCTACTAGAAATTCAGCCATAAAACCCTAAGCACTAGCATCTATTTAAGTGTCATATCCACTGAAGTCATGTTCAGCCCAGAGTACCTTTGTGGACTTTATAGATTTCTACACACTAACACCATAAATCACTTTCAAAACTGTAGTTAAAGAAAATTTTGACTGTTAGATTTAAGTGTAATATTGAGCAATGAGAGCAGCACCTATCAATGAACATCTTCGTGAGCCAACGTACRTATTTAAAGTTTATGCTTCCCAAGCCCAAGGAGGTGGAGAAGAATGAGTTTAGGTGTGCTGATCAAACCAAAGTCAAGTCACACAACTGAATGTTTTTACCACATAGCAGTGTACATGTTGAGAGGAAAGACAGTCAACTACTTATTTGTAAAAATCATAATAAAAGTTCATATTACTGTAAAACACAACCAAAACATTAGTCTAGCAACACCGTTAATATATAGCAACACTGTTAATATAACTGTTTATTGTTCATGGGCATGGCAAACAAGTTAGAACTTTTCATGAGAGGAAACTGCAGTAAAGATGGAACAGACAAAATCCAGAAAGGCAGCAAATGTTATTAGCCAGAAAGTCTGTAGCTGTCTGCAGCCTGTGTGTGTGAATTGGTGGGCAATGCAGATTTTTAGTAGGGTTTGCTGTCTTCAACAGGTACAAAAATTGTGTCAATTGAAGTCWCAGCAGTTTTTATACTTGGAGGCAGATAGTCAGGAATTTTGGCCTTAGACTCCCTGAAATGTGAAATATTTAATACCTGCCTCTTTGCAAATAAGAACATTTGCAAGACATGAATATCAATATCACATAAAAAGATCCATCTCCATCTGAAGGCAAATCATGCTTTTTTGATGTAATGTAGTGTTAACAACAAGCAGGGAAAGTTAATAAGAGAATATGAATAATTATCAATGGCTGAAGGGAAGGCAGCCATTCAGATAGCTGAAGTAATGTGCACAAGTAATGCCATMAACACTGTTGGAAGAATACCAGGCTGCTTACTCTAAGCACACAATTGTTGATCAAAACGCTGCCAAGGATATATGTACCATGGAGTAAATGCAGTAACATCACAATGCTGAATTTTAGTCTTAAAATTAATTACTCAGCAGGTTTTGTAAGTCCTGTTTGTGGTATTCAGCTGTATGAAGACAAGAAGCTTTTTACCACAGATAAAGCAGTCTTCTTTGTTTATCTAAATCTAGAGCTTAGCCACTACCATCAAGGAGTAAGAAAATAGAWATTGAACATTTATTTGCACAAACTTTTCCATTAACCACAATCAAAATCACCCACCTCCATCTGATTTATCTACATTTTCCTCACAAATACTGYATTCTGTCCCTTGCACTCTGAAGAAAATCTACATTCTTCTTTTCATGGCTCTGTATCAGGATAAGAGGCTGAGAGAGCTTGGTAAAGGCAAAATACTGTAACAGAACTGATCTCACTGTTTGCAATCTACCCTACCTAGCTCAYATTGCCTATGCTTACGTAGAGGAAAGAAATTAGTCTTTTTATCAAGTGCAATAGCCTAGTACTGAGAAATGACATGAGGTCTATAGGCAGTGCAGGTTAAGGTTGCTATCTAGAAGAGCCCATTAGAGAGCATGATGACATTTTATGGAGATTATTACAAATGCATCAATTGCGAACAGTAAATGTYATCTGAGTCATTAAGAAAGAGACCCTACATTGTCTTAAGAGAGGTAAGCAAGGAAATCTGCTTTTATTACGCCTTGATTTGTGGTCTTCTCAATATATACAAGCTACAGATTAGTTATTCATGTCACTGAAAAAAAGGGGGGGAAAGAAAAAACTTCCAAAGATTCTTAGTAAATCCCATGAAAAGTTCTTCTAATATGTAGTAGGATATAGTTTGCAATTCCAGCACATATACCAAGGTCATAGATTGTGAATTTCAAGTAGACTATATATCAAGCCAAAATCATTCTAGGAAAATGACATTTTCATTCACTTTGGGAAGTGCTCCCAAAGTAATTGCTGACTTCAAGATTCTGTGTGAAAAAATGTTATGCAGATTTTTTTCTAAAGGAGAAAACACATTCATTTTACCTTTTCTAAGAAACTGTTAGAAGTATCTTCATGATGGAATGGAAGTTGCATTTAGATACATTTTTAACTGTGAACATATTAACAAATATGTGAGATATAAAAGTAGATTTTTTTCTGAAAAGTATTTAAGTTACCATAACTGCATTTCATTTAAGACAACAGTATTWAAAATATAATTACAGAGTAAAACATAAAAGATCACCAAGAGTGTATATCTAACCTTAACTCTTCCATTTAGGTAAATGGTTTTGTGTTAGTAAGCAACATATTTTAAATTTTACAAGTTGCCATTCTCAAAGTTATTTAATTTTAGGAATCAGAATATTAATAAAAAATGATGAGGTGTAGATTTTAACTCACTTATGGAGTTTTATCACTCAATTTTGCCTATATTTTACTCAGTCAAGAAAGTACTGCCTATTCCAAGTTGAGCTTCAACTTGGAATAGATTTTCAAGTTATTTACACACATCTTCTAATGTTTTTTATTGGTAGTAACCTTCCTCACAGAGAGAGTGATTGAGAGCATGATGTTATCTGGGACACATTCTCCCCCAAGCAGAAAAAGAGAACTGATAAACCTGTGAGCCAAACTTGATTTAATGGCAGAACTTGTTATTGCCTAAGAGATGGTACAACTTCAGTTWAAATCTACTTTGAAGGAAACATGGCACAGAAGGTAACAGAGYCTCATAGACATGCACAAAGGTACATACACTGTTGCATATCTGCAGGAAAGAAGAGAAAGGCAGAAACCAGTGGCAAGAGAACATTCAGGCAAGATAGAAGCTAAGCAAATCAACTGTCACACATGTGAAGAAGAAACACCATATGAAAGCAYGGAAAGTATGGAAACATACACTGAACATATGTGGAAGAAACTAGATATTCAGAACGAGCATCATATGTATCAGACAAAAAAGAACTAAAAATGCATTGGCACTGACAATTGCAGCATAAGATGGACAGAAAGTGATCGAAGTTTTCTGATTCTGTTTCGTAAATCAGTGCAATGCCCCAGAAACCTAAGTATATACAGAACGCACCATTCCAACTTGCACTTCTTAGCAAAGTCCTAGGCTAATTTTAACACTACATAAAATCTACATTTCTTTTTGTAGTGTATATAGGAAGGTTCTGAGTAAAGCTGAATTCAAAAAACAGAAATGACTCATGACCAGCATTTACTTTAAGTATGAAGAGGTTTTGGCCTGAGCATATACAATAGGAACAATTGAATAAAGTTATGAATTGTCCTCCTAAAGGTACATGTGGAGGCATAGGTAATGAAGAGCACATCTGTTTTACTAGATGACTTATGCTTAGATCTCACTTCATTAGTTGAAATGCAAGTTCAGACCATGAGCCATCTTCAAACTGAGGMATAGTACCTCTTATAGGTTAGCATAACTGTAAACAAACGAATTTACAAGTCAATTTTCTCCAGTGGAAGGAATTTACAAAACCTGATCAAGCCAAGAAGTTCTATATTATCATTTTTCTCTTTTAAAAAACACACAGCTTGAAAATTATATGCAGAAGATCAACATCAAAGCAAAACCAATAATGCCAGAAAGTTCCAAAGTCACACTTTCTCCTACAGTTCTAACTTAGCAATGTTATCCATCTGTAGAGTTCCTATTTTAGCTTCTGAGTTAACTATCCTCTTTCATAATGTCATATTGTTTATTAATGAATTCTAGCAGATACAGTATGGTCAGTTTTTACTACATTTGAAATGCTAGTAACAGTGCAAATCCAGATTGTTTGCACTACAGTCTCTTCCAGACTCTTGAGTTCATTTGACTAAAATTTATGTAAAGACTTTGGGAGAGGTTTTTTGTTTGTTTGTTTTTGTTATGGGATAGCTATATCTATATAGCTTTTTCATATGTAAACCCACTGCAAATACAAGCAAGATAGATTAAAGTCTGCAGGGGAGCTCAGGATGAGGTGTTTTTGAAAGGAAAAGGAAACCAACGGAAGACATAAGAATGTATTTAGGGATGAGCTAGAATGAGCTTCATCSTCTGTTATGTGTATCAGTGCTGCGGTTGGTGAGATGTAGGAACCAGGTCTACATCTCTGCTGTTGTGTTCCTAAAGCAGAGCAGATCAAAGCAGTTTGACTGTTGTGTCCACTGTGCTGTGTTTCCTTCTCCCATATTCCCTGTAACAAAAACAAGACAGTTTAAGGAAAGAGAAGAAGAAAACTTGAGAGCAGGGCAAGAGTAGGCAGAATAGAGTGCCCAGTTCATAAGACTGAGTGAACCACTAAATACTCAAACATAGAAATAGCAAGCTATAACTTCCACCACTTTTACTGAAGTTTCCTATAGTCACCAATGCTGCTTTCCTCTTTAGTGCAGTACAGTAAATATCCAGCCTCATGACATCCCTCTACTGGTGACCAGCCCCAAAACTGAGAGGATTAAAATAATTAATAATAATAATAATAATAATAATAGCAATAATAAAAAACAGTAATATCATACAACTATGAAAACTAACTTCAGCAGACACAGATTTTCTCCATGTGGCTGGGCCAGCAGACATAGTATGCTGGACGTGGAAGTGGCTGCTTTAAGTTCCTGTTCATGAGTTTCAGCTGTTGGCTTCTTTGACCGATGCTAAAAGTAAATGCTGACTGTTCACAAAGGCAATACAACCATCTGTGAACAGCTCTACTGCAATCATCCTCTTTACAAGAAGAAAAATAACCTCCAAAAATAATAAGATAACCAATAGCATTTGAAAACCTCTATAAATAATGCATAAAAATAATATCCCGTAAATGTAAATTGCATTGCTTCTTGGGGTGAAACTTGAGTTGATTTTACTCATTACTCAGTACCTGCTGGCTCCAGCATATATAAATATGTAAAGTACACAGTATTTATTGTATTATGCACTGAATGACATTTACAGATATCTGATTGTCAAATTTGATTCAGAAAGGTGAGCTCTGTCAACGTGAGTTTACTTTAATATGTTGACCTACAAGATTACAATTCAAGGCAATTTGGTGCTTATGTAATTTAAATATTCAGTATTTCTGACAGCCCAGAATTCTAGGCTCTATTACAAAGTCTGAGTGAATGAGTGTACAAAAATCCTATCACAATTGTTAGAGAAAATATAAACTCACCTAAATATCAAGGCCAAACACATAGTGTCTGTGTTTAGCCACTGAAGAACTAGGCATAAATAATTACAGTTTTGATACTGAAGGATAGCTGTCTGTATTTCCTGTTTATCTCTAACACTATATCTTGTAGTTTTTATTAATGTGGCTGAGGTATTTAGGCCTGGATGAAAAGAAAATAGCTGATGCTCAGCCATGGCAGTATGGCTATTTTCTAGGGGAAAAAGACTTTATTTCAAACTATAATACAAAATAGAATAGTATACTATATATACTCTATAGTGTATATATATAGTATACTCTGCTAAATTATAAATTTTGCTTTACAACTGGAAATGTATCAATTGAATTATAATCTGAAGTTGAGCTTTCACTCTAAAAAACATGTATCATTCAGATGTCACAAAAACATATGCAATTCTAGCTATGCACTGTTGAATCATATTGTTGTAACTTGCTTTGCACTAGCTTTAGATTTATATATACATAATGTCCCAACACATCAATACTTTATCAATAATTTATCTGATTTAACAATTTGTAAGTATATCTAAAGTATGTAATTCAGGATTGATTTCCTCACAGAAGTCCTTTATAGAATAAGTATTTTTTTCCAGAACTTATCGTATAATCGTATCTATTATATAGGTTGTATAAACATATATAAAGAGTATAGTATAGTATTTCCTTTGAAAAGCTATATTAAGCTTCTTTTTTCACGTTTGTTTCTCACCCTTCTTTTTCTTGTTTCCAGCATTCAGTTTTCTTTCCATTTGCACTGTGAAGGATGCATACTTATTTGACTTCTTTGGTGCTTCTCTCTACTGGTATATGTGGAAAAAAGCTGATCAAGCGCGGGTATCTTCACTTTAGCTAATCATTTAGCTAATCATTTAGCTAATCATTTAGCTTCATTTAGCTAATCATAAGTTTCTTTTCTGGTCAATAGAAACGAATAGGTACTTTTACCGGACAACAGTAATACTTTTTCTTTCTAGATACTTTTTCTCAAAGTATCTATCTTCTTTGATTACAATGAGAAGTTAGGATGACTAGCTCAAAGGCAGATAGGTGCATCATAGATCTTTGTATTTGCTGAAATGAAATTCACTTCAACACCCAAGTAAACATCACACTCGAAGAAGTATTTTGTCTCTCAGTGTCAGATGAATTCAGATTAATATTAGCCACAATCTTCCTTACTAAGCCCTTCTAGTCATTTGACCATCAGATACACTAATGAGGGTCCATTACTCGCAGTACATARTGAGAAAATGGGCTGCTACTAAAATGTCAACAGACCCAGTAATCTATTGTTTTAGGAAAAATAACAAGTACATTTGATTCCTCTTTCACCCTTTGCTCCTCTTCTTAACATTTCTTTTGAACGTGAGAAAATAGAAAGAGAGCTAGATAAAGAATTTAAAATGAAAAAAAAAAGGAAAAACAATTCTAGAAATCCCCAGAATATAGTGCTGAAGTTTCCCTATGAAGAAATGCCATACCTTGATCTGTTCAGTTTTGAATTAGGTTCTTTTTTCTTTTATTTAGCATATATTTCCACAGATTATTCTCTTCTTCTCGCTTCAGTCTGATATTCCTTCTTGATTTTGCAAATAGTCCTATAATAGAGGGGATTCCAATGGGAATTGAAACTGGAAAGCTGTATTTGAAATGATTTGGACTGTCTTCTTCAGCAACAAGCTGAATCTTCAGCCACAGACCCTTATAAAAAAAAAATATATATATATATATATACTCAACCTTAAAATGACATGCAAATGTTCTAGTTTCTCATTTGAATCTCATGGCTCAAACAATATCAGTTTCTTGGAGGAGAAACAATTCGTATTTAAGTGATGATTGTTAATCTAACTGTAAATAAATCATGAATAATCATGAATTATTTTTAGCAATGAGTTTGTCTTTTCTGTAGCAAGGAAAAACTCAATCAGAACCTATAGGCTAGCTTATTCGAGAATTTATATGATGATTAGTTAAATAATTTTGAAATTTTATTTATTAGGAAATTCAGAGCATTTTACAGTATTTGCAAATGCTGCAAATTTGCAGTTTGGACACTTCAGTCCAACTTCAATATCAGATAATTTATTATAATAATAATAAACTTTTCATTATAATAACCAGTTGTAATAATCAATTATAAATTGATTATTTACTGAGGTTGTTGCACCTCTTCTGCCTTATTTGTACTTTCATTCTTGGAATTTGTAACATCAAGTGAATTCATTCTCTGAGGACTACGGAGAATACCAGAACTAAGGATGCAGAAAATGCAATTTTTTAAACATCACCTGTACAGAAGTTTATCCTATATACATACATTTTTTATGATTTTCATTTTTCTACTTAAATATTTTACTGGTTGTCTTTCTGAGTTTATGTATCGAGCCACTAGCATTTAGATAAGTGTGAATATCATCACTCTGTTTCAGGATTCAGTAAATCAGCAGCTTGATTATGATCAGAGAAGGAGATTTTACATGTAGAGTATCAGCAATAGTTGACTTTATTAAGTGACTTAATAAGATATCTATGGTATGAAAAATTACTTTTATTTAAAGGGTAAAAATCTATTTTTGAGTAATGAAAGCTTGCATTTCTGTGTTGTGCTTACATCCTTAAAACTACTCCATTCTGGACCTCCATTACAATTTGGATTTGTTGCCCTCTCAACATGCTCATGGTAGAACATAATCATGTTCCATGATTACCCACCTGCATAACGGAAAGCACATTTCCAATTCCAGCAAAACTCAAAGCAATATACAAACCATGATGGCTAATTATATCCTCAAGTGTTTATAAAAACATATAAAAACAGGATCTGCAAATAACAGCCTTTTTTTTTTTTTTTTTTTTTTATAAAAACATATAAAAACAGGATCTGCAAATAACAGCTTTTTTTTTTTTTTTTTTAATGAAGTCCAATATGTAGGTTTAGCAATCTATGGATACCACCTCATCACTCCTAAATACATAAACTTAGAGGTAGATGCATAACCACACTAAACAGTTTGTGATCTGAGAAATAAGCAAGATATCTGGCAAGGATATAGAGAGGTTTATCAGCATTTATGTCCACACTATATGTTTCCCTRCAGAAGCGTTAACATTTGCAAACTGCCAGCCAGCTCTTCGCAGATGTCAGTTCCTTTCCATTACCATAAAAGACTACAGCCTTTCTGTTGAGTTCAGCAAAGGTGATGATGCAGAAAGCAAGCGAAAACAGGCAAAAAGAAGAATCTCATGATCCTATGTCTGTTTTGCTCCTTTGCAAATTTGGAGAGASAGGAGTGTCATTTGCCTAAGAGATTTTGGGGGACTATGCGGTGAGGTTCAGACTAGCTGTTCTCACGTCATAATTGGTCTTTGCTGGTTTCATCTGTCAGGGAGGAGATAATGTTGCTTTTTTATTTCACAGTATTTAGTCTGCATTTTAGTAATATGAGGGATACTATTTTAATAATATGGTAGACAAAACATGAGCTACTGTTTCATTACTTCGTTATATAACAGTTTACACACAAGTTACACACTCATATATAGCCTATATAGCATATACTGTATGCAATATGCTATATATGTTAATATAAAATATACTTGCATATATAATGTATACATAATATGTACACATGTACATATAACATATAGTAGATATACTAGTATGCAAAGTAAAGAGTGTGTATATATATTATATATATTTATATGTATGTGTGTGTACACACATATATGTACATACACACAGATATATTCATAAATGTGTATATATATAAAATATGTTAGTAGGCTATACTGATCTTATGCAAACATGACACATAATATTGACTCTCTTTATGTGAAGCCAGAACCCTTGCCAGAAAAGAAAATGGTGTATTGCCTGACCTAAGAAGACAAAGAGATACTGCTTTACATCTCTAATTGATCCACTTTACAGACTTAAAGAAGTATAAAGAAGTTGCGGTGAACATTTTGAAGAAGTTTCTTTAACTTTTCCTGCAAGATTGTGCCACAAATTAAATATTAATTGTGTTCTGGTATTTTGCAACCATTTTTTCAAGGTCAAAACTGCCATTAGAGAAAGAAATTAAGCTGAAGTAGGAATATTTAAAAAAAAAAAAAAAAAAAAAAAGGAAAAATTTTTTAGCTATAGTTGTCATTGGGCTGTAGCTTTTTGTGAGATTATGTATACATCTGTCAGCTATTTAGCATCTCAATTCTCTATTACTGCTACTCAAGGAGATTCAAGGAGATAGCCTAGAGGCTACCGACCATTGGCTTCTAGAGGTGAAGTACTTTAGAGATAATAGAAAAATATTTGGCAATCAAGAATTTTATTAATATATTATTAACTCGTATGAAAAGGTGCTAATTAGGAGAAATTATTTTAGAGATAATAGAAAAATATTTGGACAAAAGCTTTGTATTTAAATTGCATCTGATAAGTGATATTATTTTATTAGCAAAAGCAAAAGGATTTTTGTTATTAGTTTCCAATATTGATAAACTACTTTATAGAGTTACTGTATGATGGCCAAATTGTGAATGACCTGACCACAGATTCATTTTGTTATTTCATAGAATCAGAGAATCATCATAGAATTACRGAATGCTTAAGGTTGGAAGGGACCTCAGAGGTCATCTAGTCCAACCCCCGCCTCTATTCACGCTTAGCACAAGGATTAAAAAAATGCAAGAAATCAACTATAATATTCAGTGTCACCTTACAATTGAGCTGCAGTTTTAGGTAGTTATGAACTTACAGCAAGAGAACAAATTTATTTTAATTGTGTCAAAATACTTTTGGAGGAAAGAAAAAAAAAGGAAACTCTCATAAAGCTGTGATTTATTTTCCTTGAGTTGTGATTTAAGGTGCACAACTCAGCCAAAAATGAAGAAAATGAAGAATGACACAGTTTGGGTATACATAAATCAGATAGCATTCAATACTTCCATGCTGTAAATTTACACAGATATTCCCCTGCAAACTTTTAATCTAAATTAATTTCTATGAACGATGAGTCTAGATAACACTTTCTGGATACAGATTTGGACACAACTTCCCCTAAATCTTAAGACTGCAACCTATGCATGAGAACAAGCTGATTTTTCATGCTTTCTCTGGACTTCCTACTGTTACACAATCTTTATTCATTGTTACTTTACAGCTCTACCTATGAAATGTTGCTGTGTTTTTATCACTTTATAGGGTCTCCATTGCATCTTCGAGAGCAGGTTTTTTGGGGTTGTTGCCTCTCACTCCTATACCCCTCTAGGAGTTGATTGTTGGGCTTTCCCAGGAACTTTTTTGGTGTTTCATATTTTGCCTTCACATCTGAACCTGTTTTTATTTGGCCAATGGGCTTTTACTCTTGTAATATATTCCTATATAAAGAAGACTCTTGAAAAAGAAGAAATTCCAGAATATTTTTGACAATACTTTCCCTAAGTCCTCAGAACAAAGCAATCTTCATTGTATATGTATATTTTAAGATAATAAGATCAAGGCCAAGTGATTGTTAACTCTTAGACTCCACGGTATAAGCTGATCTTCATGTTGAAAACAGGATTTAACTAAACTTTAGGTAGCTCTATTCACAACAATGATCTTAAAAAATCCTTATTCCTTGTTGTCTGGCTCAAAATATTTGCTAATAAGGGCTTTAGACATCTGCTTTTGTGTCCACTTTATAGCCTCTTAATCTTGACATTTAATTGACAGCAATTCAAAACCTTCCTCATGCCCAAACATCCCAAATGGATAACAGTGCATTACCATACCTCATACCTGCTGAGTATGAAATGATCAACTTTGGGACAGTGACATTAAGTTACTAATCTCTCTATCCACTGGCTGACACAACTACTTTTCAAAGGAAAGCAACTTGAAATTTATATCATTTCTTAGAGTAGTAAGCTAGTTATTTCAGTACAAGAGGGATGTGGAGCTGCTGGAGAGAGTCCAGCGCAGGGCTACSAGGATGATCAGGGGCCTGGAACATCTGCCATATGAGCAAAGGCTGAGGGAGCCAGGCCTGTTCAGCCTGGAGAAGAGAAGGCTGAGGGGGGACCTGATCAGTGTCTATAAATACCTTGAGGCAGTGAGGAGGAGGGGGCCGGCCTCTTTTCAGTGGTGGACAGYGATAGGACTAGAGGAAACGGCCACAAGCTGAGGCACCAAAAGTTCCACAGGAACTTAAGGAAACACTTCTTGACAGTGAGGGTGACAGAGCCCTGGAATGGGCTACCAGGGAGGTTGTGGAGTCTCCTTCTTTGGAGATCGTTAAAACCCGCTTGGATGCAGCCTTGTGCCACGTGCTCTAGGTGACCCTGCATGAGCAGGGGGGTTGGACTAGATGACATCTGAGGTCCCTTCCAACCTTAAGCATTCTATGATTCTATGAAACAGGACTTTTATAAACTATTTTCTGATTTCTAACATAGACACATTCTCTCAGATAGGAATAAACTGGTACAAAGATAGAGATTAGCAGTTCCAGTTCTAAAACTAGAACATTTTACAGCTATTAAAATGAGATACGTTTGTGTGAGCAGATTAATACATCTTGTGTTCAGCCATCTGTTACATTTTAGGATATGA